GTTCCCTTATCTAGTCATGAGACATTGGACAATGACACTGGTGCAGGACTGAATACTGCTGTTCTATGCAATTTTGGGGAAAATGCCCCATTTGATGGAAAATAAACAAATATTCTTTGGTTTCCTGATATTTTATATTTATATATAGATAGATAGCTATATAGATAGTTCAAGAAAACTATTTTCACCAGAAACTTCAGATAATGCTTACATGAGTGACACACAAAAAAGCAATGGAGCAACTGAGTAATGCTATCGTTCTCTGAATTCATATATAATTAGAAAACGGAGGTGATGGAAAATTGGTTACCACTTGATTTTCTAAGAATCAGAGGTGTGAATTCATTCTATTAGCTTCTTAGTACCAATATATATCTAACTCTAGTCTATCCCAAAGGAGGAGAAGATGGCTGAAAGAACAAAATAAAACTATTGTCATTGTAAGGAAGAGTTTGAATCTGACATGTAGTTCAATGGATAAAAATGACTGGCAGCTGAAATCCAGGTTCTGTTGAGTGGCAGTAATATAAAAGTGAAAACACAACTACTAAGTCAGCACAATTTACCAACAGTGTTCAAAAGACATATAGATATTAACTATGGGACTACAGCAGGACACACACACACACACACACATATATATAGATATAGATATTAAAATAGCAGCTGTGTGAAGTTGTTCAGAGGCCTGAAACCTTAGAAATAGACCTGGCAGAGATGGATAGTTGAGGAAGTCATAGGTGCACTTTAATCACATGATTCTGTGGAGTCACAATTTATCATGTAGCCCGCAATTTATCACATGGATACCACTACCTCATACATACGTGTATGTATATTATGGACCAAATGCTGTCCTGACTTGCACCTTTATGGCCCAACTGAATTCAGTGGAGTTCCCCAGATACAATGGAGGGGCAGGATCTGGCCCTGTTTGTGTATAAATCTAGTATACACACTGTGGTTAGATTCTGAGGTCTATTATACCAATGTATATCTGGAGTAATTCTGTTGTAGCCTACTGACTACAGGCTGATCCACTTATTAATTAATTTCAGGTGGCTGTCCCTGAGAGAAAATATGTTTGTTTCAATTTTTATTATAACTGTAAGATACGACACTACAATAGGCACTACATGAAATACATAATTAAGTAATACAAGTAATAAATAATAATAGCTGCAGAGTTTCCAAGGAACTGCTTCAAGACAGACTGGAATGGGGAAGAAGATCCAACCCCATATAGATGGGACAAAGGATAGAAGAACTAATAAATAATAATGCCTTACAATGGAGTGAGTGCAATTAAAAAAACGAACATTTAAAACTCCGAAACCTCAGAAACTGTAGTATCTTCCCATATGTAGAAAAGGAGAAAACATAGTAAGTCAAACATTTTGGAGCAGCATGCATATGCTGAGTTTGTAATGGCATCATTATCTTATATGCATATAGTCTGTTTTCTCCTGCAGATGTCAAAGTGCTTTATATAGGTGATTAAGAATCACCATCTCCATTTCAGTACTGAGGAAACTGAGGCAAAAAGAGGTTAAGGACAAAATTTGCAGAAGTTGCCCCTGATTCTGGATGCCCAATTAAAGACAACTTGGGTCTGACTTTCAGAAGTACTGAGCACACAAAGCTCCTATCAACTTCAGTTGGAATGGTGGCTCCTCAGCAATTATGAAAATCAGGCCCATGGTGTCAGTGAGAAACTGAGGCCACATTTGAACTAAGTAAATTGCCCAGGGTCACCTAGTAAGTCAATAGTGGAGTTGCAAACAGAATCCAGGTCACCTGACTACCAGTCCTCTGCCCAATCCACTGGTCTACAAAACCAACTAGAAATACAGCGTCTTTTAACATACAAAAGAAGAAACATGAATTTCACTCATAAAGGACCAGATTTTGCCAAGTGTTGAGTACTCTCAACACACAAACTTTAATTTGAACCTCCCAAAAGGTTCTGAGCACCTCTTAGCATTAGCTTCTCTGAAAGTAAAGTATCATAAAAAGGTATCGGGTAAAATCCTGGCCCCATTGAAAAGAATGGTAAAACTCCCATTGAGTTCAGTGGGGATTTCATCCATGGTTTTACAGTAAGTTGTTGAGTGCCTCCTGTGAGTGTATCCTCTACACCTGTTACCCGGGGTTCTTTCAACCCAAAGCTCTTGGTAACTTTTATTCTGTGCGAGGAGGTGTCAGAAAATAAATCAGGGGAGACACGGCCATCCGTCCGACCGACAGATGGCTGGCACAAAGAGGACAACACAAGAGTGCTTTCACTTAAAGCTAAACTTTACTAGTCTCAAGCACTTACACACGTCCACACTAGGTTAGTAAAACACCCCCAACCCTCGATAATTACCGAAGCTGACTGTTGCTCTCGAGTGGCACAGTGGCAGCCCGTCTGCCGATGGGGAACACAAGATGCATCCAGAGGGAGAGACCAGTCCCAAAGAGTCCCACAAAGGAGTCCCGCCTATCTCAAGCTTTTCCCCCTTATTTATACATTAGTAATACAATGACATGTCCCTTAAAGAAAACTTGTCAAGTAAGCAGTTTCAAACAAGAGGCTCCTTCTGATTATTGATTAACCAGGTGTGGGTTTTTCCAGAGTCTGAAGCTCTGAGACCCCAATAGACATTCCTGCTCTTTTAAAATGCATGTATCAGCAACTTCAACACAGTTCTTATCAGGAAGGACGTGGGGTCAAGCTGCCCCTTCCGTGGCACCCCAAAACCCCCTCCCTCCTGCCTTGGTCAAGCTGAGTTTGCTGACTGGCCAATTTACAGCTTGCTGACTAGGTTGCAATAAGCCATAGTGGTTTTAGGCACTTTACTGGTTTGCCAAAGTCTCCCCGTACACACCCACTGACTCAAATGCAAGCAGTGGGTGCTCAGCACCTTGCAAGATTGGGTCCTTAAAGTGCTAAAGAGCTAACATTTCTATATAAAGAACTAAAGGAGATGCTATCGCTTTTTCAGGGCGATAATTACAATGGAAGAAACATTTAAGGACTTACCTGGATCCCAATAGGAAGGTGTCTTCCTAATAGACAATGAATGGCATGCCCTCAATTCCCAGAGAAGTCAATGGGAACTGAAACCACTCAGAAGTTGGCATGAGGATTTTAGCATCTCTCAGAGCTGGGCCTTTGGTCTTTACATTGTAATAATACAGAAACACTGGGGGATTTCAGAATGCTGCCAGAACAAGCCTTCCAAAATATTTTGCAATAACATTTCCCCTGGGAAATTTGCCACCACACAAAATTGATTTTCTCCTAGAAGTTTCACTCTAAAAAAGATTGAGGGAAAGAGAGAGACTTTATGACTGTCTGGAGGGCATTTAGAGCACTTTATTATTTTCATCAATGTGAGTACACGCAACCCCTCTTAAGATTTAGTGGGTGTGATACATGGGCACTTGCGGTACAGCATACTCCACAGAACTTACTTCTTAACTCACTCACCATTTTTCAACGTGCTGAGCACTTCTCGCTATCGCTACTGTGCTACTTCACAGCCTCTGTTAAAAGACCCTTATCTGATTTTTAGGTTGAATTTGGATACTCAACTTTCTCAATGTGGCTGTACCCATACTGAGATGAATGTGTTGGATGCAGTGCGCCCAAACAATTCTCAGATGCTATGGCACTCAAGAAAACAGTTAAAAAAGCAGGCAGAAACCCAGCTGATTCCCTTTATTCCCCTATTTACAATATCAGACCAACATTACAGCTATACATTGTCATCACCTCACATGCCAAACTCCCACTGATGTCAAAAAAGAGTTCTCCGCATGAACAGAAAGCAGTTTATGGCCCTTAGTGTGCAAATAATTCTGCTATGATCCCTTTTCTTTGAAATGCTGGCTGCAGTGCCATAGGATTTGTTAGACTTTTCAAGGACTTGGCATGCTTTTAGGGGCATTGTACTCACCAGCACCCCTCCCCTCCCTCACACGGAGTATCCAGAGGCAGCACATAATTGAAATGGAAATTTTGAATTTCTCTCTCTGTTCTTTGGAGTAGAAATTACATCTTGGATCACATATTACATCATCTTGTTCCTTAGAATCATGTTTGCATCACTTTATGTCATGCACATCTGTGGTCTGTTGGCAAGGCACAGCTACATTAAGAGAGGGACCCAGAGCTGACATTATCAATTTAAAAAAAAAAATTCTAGGTTTAGTTAGAGGAACAAATACACACTGCTACAGAGACAGACTAATTTTGTATATTCCACAGGATCTCACAACATGTTGGAAAAGTAGCTAGCCCAGTTTGTGTTCACACTGTACAGCTATTAAACCATGTTTGAACCAAACTACAGGGGCCTGTTTGTGCCCTCCTAGGGAGCAGTCTTGAACACAGTTCTAATGCTGTTAAAGCTTAGTGACCCAATGCTCCACAAACAACTTCCGACCTTCTTAATGGAACTTTCATGCAGAGTGCAGAGGAGCGGAGCCAGCTGGGAGCTTCACAACACTGGAGCAAATTCTGCCTCCAGTGGGTGCAGCAGGTGATCGGTATAGCTCAAGGTTTTACTGTTGTATATATTTTTCAAAATTGGTTTAGTTTTAGAGCTAGTGTGGACATAGTTTTCCCTAAAATCATACAACTGTTTTCAGTTAAGAACAATGGTTTTCCTTTTGAAATAATGGCTCAGTCACATTAACCCTCAAGTTCAGAAGTCCCTGAAGCTCAAACTGGTCTGACCTACAATATTCAGGACTGAAAACAAATTCTAGTTCAACAGGCATTACACATTTTAGCAAGTTAGGCTGCTTATCAGGTAGATTACTTGGCCTGCTTCTCTTTCAGTCACACTTGTCTTTCACAGGAACATCAACAGCACTGAGGGCAAAGGCCATTTGGTTCTGGATTCTCGCAGTACAAGTAACGAAAGATAAGTCCCTACAAATCGAGAAGGCAACTGGTCACAGGCCTGGGGAAATTATATTTCAGTGACTGGAGATGTTACTCAACATACCTTTTCTTGTGTCTTGCATAGAAGACAGTTGCATTCAAAGCAATACTGGCGCTTCAGATGTTTTTGACGCTCACTGCTGGGCATCAGTGATTCAATATAGCTGATAGTGAGCTATGTGCAACAAACAGAAAAAATAGAACTGTTATACTTAAACATCAATTCAGTATATACCGGTAAGTAGAACTGGTTGAAAAAAAATTACCAAAATATGTCCCAGTCACAAAATCTGATTTCATATAAATGGATACATCCCACTGAGAAAATCTAAATAATTTTTTTCATGTTAACACTGCCAAATCAAAAAAAATTTAGAACTTTTAATTTTGAGAAAACTTTTAATTCTTCAACTTTTTGTCCTGATTTTGAGATGAAAGCAAATGTTGAAGTATCCAAATTTCCTATGGGATGGAAATTCCATTTTCTAACTAGCTCTGACTGTAATCCTGGAATCCAGCACCATCCAAATGTCTAAAAATATTTTGACTTAAAGATACCACTTTTATTTGAGAATATGCATTCCATTCTATATATGTCAACCAGGTTAGTTTTATTTCAATCCTATCTCACTATTTTAAGTATGTCTACAATACCAGTCATTGGAATATTTAAGTACTGTTTTGTTGTGACTGAAAAAACATAAGACCCTCCTGTCTAGATTTGCTGAAAATATTCCCAAGTAGTTGCAAGAAGATACACAACAACCCTGATTGAAACTAAATAATAATACTTGCATCTGTCAACCTCTGGAACTCCTTGCCAGAGGGTGTTGTAAAGGCCAATACTATAACAGGATTCAAAAGGGAGCTAGATAGATTCATGGAAGATAGGTCCATCAATGGCTATTAGCCAGGATGGGCAGGAATGGTGTCCCTAGCCTCTGTTTGCCAGAAGCTGGGATTGGGTGACAGGCCATGGATCACTTGATAACCTGTCTGTTCATTCCCTTTGGGGCACCTGCCATTGGCCACTGTCAGAGGAAAGGATACTAGGCTTGATAGACCTTTGGTCTGACCCAGTATGGCTGTTCTTATGTTCATTTCTAGCCCTTTAAAAACCCTAATGCCATTCAGGTAAATTCCAATGTTAAAAAAAAACAAAAAACAAAAAAAAAAGAAAAGAAAAACATTCCCCACCAGCCAGAAGAAATTTTAAAGGGCTAGAATCATGGCATTTATATAATGTGCTATATGTTTAGAGCACTGCATAGGCATTCACTAATAAGAAGGAGAGTTTGTAGCAAAATAGCAGTGCAGTTCAGATCAGCCCTCAGCTGCTTATTCACACATGCTGTGGATTACAGGGTACCCAATGACCACTGATGTACGCCAAAAAGGGCAAAACTAGACATCAGGTCACATTACTACATCTTGCACCTAGATTCTTCAGCTAACAGGGAGACATTTTCACATGACTCCTAGTTAAATAATGAGACTGCATTCAAACAGAAATTACAGGGAAACCTTACCAATTTTCACTGATGACTGGGAGATCCAATTGTCAGTTACTGAGTTTTGCAAGTTAGTGGGTAGTATGAGTAAACAAGCAATTAACAAGCAAGCATAATGCCTGTACTTTGTTCATTTGTTATTACAAATGTAATTTAATATTTATTACACATAGAATAACAATGTTAAAGAACACTGCTAAGGTTGCAAAGTCAAGCACCCAAAATTTCCACAGGTGTGGGGGGCGGGGAAAGGGTGGGGAATAGTATGTGGTCATGTAATTAAAGAGTATATCATAATGCATACACATAAAGGGATCACATTAAGAATGCCCAAGCAACTTTTATTCCGGCATTTCCAAACTTCTGAGTGCCTGACTGCAATCTTAACAGGGTGGAAATATGATGCATCAGGTATTAGCCCCTTAGAGAAAAGGGGAAACCAGGAACCACCACCTCCCTAGGTAACCCATTCCAGTGCTTCACCACCTTCCTAGTGAAAAAGTTTTCCCTAATATCCAACCTAAACCTCCCCCACTGCAACTTGAGACCATTACTCCTTGTTCTGTCACCTGGTACCACTGAGAACAGTCTAGATCCATCTTCTTTGGAACCCCTTTCAGGTAGTTGAAAGCAGCTATCAAATCCCCCCTCATTCTTCTCTTCTGCAGACTAAACAATCCCAGTTCCCTCAGCCTCTCCTCATAAGTCATGTGCTCCAGCCCCCTAATCATTTTTGTTGCCCTCCGCTGGACTCTTTCCAATTTTTCCACATCCTTCTTGTAGTGTGGGGCCCAAAACCGGACACAGTACTCCAGATGAGGCCTCACCAATGTCGAATAGAGGGGAATGATCATGTCCCTCGATCTGCTGGCAATGCCCCTACTTATACAGCCCAAAATGCCAATAGCCTTCTTGGCAACAAGAGCACACTGTTGATTCATATCCAGCTTCTCTTCCACTGTAACCCCTAGGTCCTTTTCTGCAGAACTGCTTCCTAGCCATTCAGTCCCTAGTCTGCAACAGTGCATGGGATTCTTCC